TAGTATTTGTTATCTCTTTTTACAAGCAGAAAAGCCATGTAGGGCCTGGAGTGGGGCTTGGCTTCATGCCCCCCGATGATCTCACCTGGGGGGAAACCAGATCCGTACCAGCATCACCATCCTTGACCACTCGGCCCATACTCAGGTCAAGTCCCCCCAGTGTCATCCTGTTCCCTGTGGATCCCTTGGTGGATCCGAGTTCTGCCCCCCTTCTCAGCTCTGCCCCACACTAGACACCCCGTAGGGCTGCCCTGGCTGGGTGCAGAACTAGTGCCAAACGCACTTGCAGGGGGTCCATCATCCAACAGCCTGGTGTTACTGGCTTTGGGGTCCGAGCTCCCCTCTAATCAGGCCAGGCAGCCCCTTAAAGGGGATTGGCTGGTTCGGGGTGAGGACTAGGACCTGGACCTTCCCCTTAGGGCAGCTTGGAGATGCCTTCCCTGTTCCTGCATTACATGTGCTTTGGCTAAGGCTGCCGGATTAGCCCCCTCCCTCCACACACACTTTCCCCCGATGTAATCTTCATTTTTATGTTCATCCCTTTACAGGATGGTGTTAACGTTCGTACATGGCTGCCTTGTGAGGTTTCTCCAATCCCTGTTCCCACCGTTTTACTGGTTCAATTCCCTCCCATCAGGATCCCTCCACCGGCCCCTCATCCACCTAATGCTGCTTCCTTTGTGTTTTTGGTGTGCATGCCACATGGAGAGAGACAGGAAGAGATCACTGCAGGTGTCTGCTCCCTCTTCTTCTAGCTTTCTCTTCTTTGGAAACCATCTTCAATGGCAGTTTAGGAGGAAGAAGGTCTGTGTGGATGGGAACCCCTACTGTTTTATTGTCAGGATGTCAATTTTTCACCCACTCCATCTTCCTTGCTCAAGAATAGCAACTGAAACATTTGATTTTCTTCCCAGCTATCTGAGGCCTCAGCCAGTCTTTTGTCTCCGGGGCCTAGACTTGAAACATGGCCGAGTGGCATCAGACAGTATAATCTTATCACTTTACCAACCACAGCTATTTATCCAGGACAATAATGATCAGCAAATTATGAGTTTTCAGGTGATTCCTCACAAGGCACGCTTTCTATAAAATTAATCACAGGGGGACTGAAAATAGGGAGACGGTCACTCTCAGGCCCCTAGGCAACACCCCAAAAATCAATCCCTGTGAGCATTCAATTGACCCCAAAGTCCTGGGGCCCCCGATCTCAGCTGTACTCACCTGCCCAAGCCCCAGAGAGTAGGAGAAAGGCCCTGGAGAGCAGGAGCAAGACCTGGATCTGCATGTTGAGAAGCAGTGCAGGGACGGTGCATCTGCCTCAGGCTTTATAGACTCAGCTTGGGGGAGATCGAAGAGCAGGAAACCTCAGGGCCGCTCACACGCTCAGCTACATGGAGAGCTCAGACGTCTCAGTTTCCAACCACAGCTGACCACATGCGCTCGGGGGAAGGACAGGCCGAGCGTCACCTGCAGTCATGCACAGAAGGCTGGCTACTTCCTATCGGGGTCTGTGCAGAACTCCTTGGATGATGCACCACTGTGGGGAGAAGACCCCAATGGGGCTGTATATAACAGAGTCCAGGGCTGCTGTGGGACTGGTTCACAGCTGGGCACATCTGCTCTGGTGCCACAAAGGCCCTGGTGGGCGGAAGGTGAAACTGCAGCTCTTCCTGGGTGGAAATGTGTTTTCTGCGGGGAAAACAAACAATGCGGGGCACAGGGATTCTGCGCAGAATTCCTGCAAGTGTGAGATCCCCGTTAGCCGTCACATTTTTCTGGTTCCATTCCTCCGGCTGATACGGCCCATGGTGACCAGACTGGGCTATTCACCTCACACACAAACTGTCCCTGGTCTGAAACCCGGCAGTAACAGCCCTGCTTTTGATGTGGTGGTGGCTGATAAAGCCACAGTCTTTGGATGGGGAGCTGTGTCAGCCCAGTACAATGAAAGAGCAGCGGAGGCGGAGATGATGGAGCTGGGGAAAAGAGATGCTGCATCTGCCAAGCAGGCTAAAGGCGTATTGGGGTGCATTAAGAGGAGCGTTGCCAGCAGGTCTAGAGAAGTGATTATTCCCCTTTATTCAGCTCTGGGGAGGCCACATCTGGAGTATTGTGTCCAGTTCTGGGAAAGGATGTGGATGCATTGGAGAGGGTCCAGTGGAGGGCGACCAAAATGACTGGGGGGTGGGAGCACATGACCTACGAGGAGAGGCTGAGGGATTTGGGTTTGTTTAGTCTGCACAAGAGAAGAGCGAGAGGGGATTTGGGAGCAGCCTTCAACTCCCTGCAGGTGGTTCCGAAGAGGCTGGTGAGAGGCTCTTCTCAGTGGGGCTGGGTGGCAGAACCAGGAGCAATGGGTTCACGTTGCAGTGGGGGAGGTCTAGGTGGGATATTAGGAAAAACTTAGGGTGGTCGAGGAAGCGCTGGGATGGATTCCCTAGGGAGGGGGTGGAATCTCCATCCCTAGAGGTGTTTAAGTCCCATCTTGACCAAGCCCTGGCTGGGCTGATTGAGTTGGGTTGGTCCTGCTTCGGGCAGGGGGCTGGACTCGGTGACTCCTGAGGTCTCTTCCAGCCCTGGGATTCTATGAAGTTAGACAGACAGATAATTGGTCAGAAACATATTTAGCTTGAGATTAGGTAGCTAGGTATATAGGGACGGAGGTTTGGACAGGCAGAGGGGTAGGTAGGAATTGGAAGGTTAGATTCTTGCATCTAGAATTGCTTCAGACCCTTCCTCTTTCTGGTCCAGATGCATCGGTCTCGGGAGTCAGGACAAGCAATGGCACAAGCAGCTTTTCTTCGCTGAGTAACCTTTGTGTCCACCCCAGATCCACCTTGTGTGTGAAATCACTGAACCCAGGTGTGCTGGGGCCCAGCCAAGAGCGTGAACCACCAGCCCGGCCTCCCCATAAGGTGCATTCTGCTCTGGATGGCGAAGCTCTGGGTGGATGAGTCAGGACCTGAATCTTTTGCAACTTGACTTTATTACTGGCTGGCTGTGGAGCAAGCTGTAAGGCAGGGGAGCTGAGCGAAATGCAGCCGGGCAGGGGACTGGGCAGCAGAGGATCACGACCAATGTTTGATCTGCAGCAGACCGCCCCCCCGCCAGCCTGGCTGCCTCCGGGCCCAGGTGTGTTTAGAAGGGGCTAATCTGTGCGGAACGGGGGCCAGCACGTGGGGAAGGCCCAGAAAGAACAGGGCTGGGGGCGGCTCCAGCAGGATGTTACTGGGAGGAGCTCCCACAAGTGTCACTCGCCCGGCTCACACCAGGGAGAACAACCTCCGGGTTTGGCCCCTCACTAATATGACCTAGCTGCTCCCTAGGCAAGGGGCAGAACCCGGCCCTGAATCTGGATCTTACCAGAGCAGAAGAGTGGTTGGGGGAGGGGACTTTGCCTTGCAAGGGGGAGGAAACTGAGGCTGGGCTGTGGGGCAGTCATCCCCTTTGCCGAGCAGGCCTGACATCTGGGCCTCTCCAAGGCAGGAGAAAGGCAGAGCCGGGCTGTGCAGTGACCCCTGGCAGGGCTCAGGGCTGCAGAAGTCTCATTGTATTGTTGATCCAACCGATGAAAGCAGGGACTCTCGTGTACACGCCCGGAGGTGTGTCGTTCCCCCAGGAGACGATGCCCTGGGCCTTACCCCCGCACACCAGGGGGCTGCCGGAGTCGCCCTGCAGAACAAACCGGGCCACAGTGAGTCATTTCCCCACTGCTGACTGGATTAATGACGCCCTGATGCCCCCCAACCCCTCCTTGGCCCCTCATAAGCCCTCTTGTCGCAGCCCGATCACTGACACGCTCCCTCAGAGATTCAAGCCAGGGGCAGATTTACCTTTGCAGAATCTCTGCACTTCTCTGGGTGCCCCGCACACAGCATGGTCGCCGGGTCGGACTTAGCATACTTGGAGCACTCGTCATCCTCCAGCACCTCCACGTCCACCTCCCGCAGCGCGTTGGCAGCAGATGAATTATCGTTAGCGATGGTGCGGCCCCAGCCGGCCACACTGCACACGGTCCTGGGCTTCATTCTTTCATCAGCTTCAGGCAGGGGGATGGTCTTCACAAATTTATTCAGTTTTGCAGACTTCTCCAGCTGTGGCATAGCAAAGATGAAGGATGAAAATAAATATGAGGGTTGCACTAGAGATGAAAGAAATATATGTCTTCCCAGTAAAACAAAGAATTTTGTTTCTGTGCCACTTTCTTTCATCAGCTTCAGGCAGGGGGATGGTCTTCACAAATTTATTCAGTTTTGCAGACTTCTCCAGCTGTGGCATAGCAAAGATGAAGGATGAAAATAAATATGAGGGTTGCACTAGAGATGAAAGAAATATATGTCTTCCCAGTAAAACAAAGAATTTTGTTTCTGTGCCACTGATGGGTAAAAGACCATACTGGAGGCAGAGGGATGGGATGGGGTGGTACCTGCAGCAGTGTGAGGTCACTGGGGGTGGGGGATGGGATGGGGTGGTACCTGCAGCAGTGTGAGGTCACTG